AATTTTAATTAAGATCTAAGAGGGCTTAAACTCTTCGCATTATGTTATGCTAAATTAAAATGAATAACAATAATGGTCAAGATTCTAAAACTTCGTGCAAAAAAGTCATTTTCTTGTCCACAAAAATTATTGTAAAAGCAGATTTTTGCATAAAATTTAGAATTTTAAGGATATTTTACAATAAATGAAAAAAATAAATATTTCAAAAAAAGATCCTATTGTAGAAATATTAATAAATTCTTTAGCAAACCTACCAACCCCAACTTCAATTTCATACTTATGAAACATAGGTTTTCTCCTAGGAATAACACTAATACTTCAAATTATTACAGGACTAGTATTATCAATAAATTTTGTAAGAGAAACATCATTAGCATTTCAATCAGTTATACATATTATGCGGGATATTGACCACGGTTGAATTATGCGGTACATTCATAGAAATGGAGCTTCATTATTTTTTATTTTTATATACATCCATCTAGCCCGAGGAATTTATTTTAACTCTCCAATCAAAATACCAATAGTATGAGGGTCAGGTGTGATTATCCTACTTCTTACTATGATAACTGCTTTCATAGGATACGTTCTACCTTGAGGGCAAATGTCTTTCTGAGGAGCTACAGTTATTACAAGAATAATCTCAGCCCTCCCATATTTAGGCCCACAAGTAACAACCTGAGTGTGGGGAAACTTCTCAGTATCCCAACCCACCTTGAATCGATTCTTCTCATTACATTTTATTCTACCTTTTATTATCACAGCCCTTGTTATAGTCCACCTAATCTTACTTCATAAACCAGGTTCTTCAAACCCCATAGGGTTAAACACAGACTTTGATAAAATAAAATTTTTCCCTTATTTTTTAGTAAAAGATTCTACTCCTTTAATATTATCAATAATTCTAATTATGACAGTGGTTTGTCTAAACCCTAACATGCTAGGAGATGTGGAAAATTTTTCCCCAGCTAGAAGAACATCTACCCCAACACACATCCAACCAGAGTGGTATTTCCTATTTGCATATGCAATCCTTCGGGCTATCCCATCAAAACTAGGTGGAGTATGCGCAATAGCCGGCTCAATTCTAGTGTTACTAATCCTATGCTTCATAAAAAGAAAATTTAATAAAAAATTCAATCCTATCAAAAAAGTTATTTTTTGAATCTTTGTAAGTAATGTAATCTTACTTACATGAATTGGAGCAAACCCTGTTGAATACCCCTACATTAACATTGGTATATTTATAACCATTTCATACTTTTTATTAATTTTATTAATCATATAACTTTTTCCCTTAGTTTAAATGAACATAACTCTTTCAAGGTTAAAGAATAAAGGGAATATATTTTGATTAGTGATCGTATCTACAATATTAGGTATTTCTTCCTCCTCTTGAGTAATATTATGGGTATCCATAGAACTCAACTCTTTAGTAATGTGTGGTATAATAACAAAAGAGTTAAAAAAAGATATAGAAAACGTTAAACCAACAATACTTTATCTGATTATTCAATTAACATCCTCAATTATCTTTTTAGTATCTGTATCCACTGTAAATGAAAGAAAAACATTAACAATTATTTCAATATTATGTTTAATTATAAAATCTGGGACCTTCCCACTTCATTTATGATATTTAAAGACTATACAAAGTTTAAAAATAAAAACTAGAAGAATAAAAACATTAATAACCTGACAAAAACTTTTACCTTTTATGATTATACTATACTTCAACACTTTAATATTAGTTTTAACGATTAGATTAATAACTTTAGTGGCTCCTATTTATAAAATAAAAAAAACATCATCAATAAAATCTATTCTAATTCTATCTTCTATAAACAATAATGGATGGTTTTTTATAGCAGTTATAATATCTCTCGTAACATACTTATATTACTTCTTTATCTACTCTATCTCTTTAATTATTACCATAAATTTTATAGAAAACATAAAAATAAAAACATTCAACATTAAAAAAAAAACTTCTGAGGCCATTATAGTTATTATAAATATGAGAAGAATCCCACCATCTTTTATATTTATTGGTAAAGTAGTTATTATCTTAACCATAGTTGAATTAAATTTCCCTAAAGAAATAATAGTTGTTATAATAATTATAAGATGCTATTTTATTTACCACTATTTATGAAGTTCTTACACACTAGTTATAAACACCCCCTTCAAACCACAACACTCATCTTTAAGAATAAAATCTTCTTTAAAAGAAGCTCCACTTTTAATTATAATAATAACTTTAACAATATTAATTTTTCTTTTAGGCTTAACCTCTAATAGGGTTTATCTTGATAGGGTAAAATAAAACTAGCCTATGAAATAAAGTGTAAAGCACACTAAACTTTGAATTTAGAGGTTAAATTTCAAAGATGTAAAAAAGGACTTCTAATCCTGCTAATCACATTGAACATCTTTCAATAAGATAATATATAATTAATTTTATTATTTCATATAAAGACCCAATTTATTGTATAATAAATTGGTTTTTTATAGTCTTTATATGTTTATAACTATAAATATATTTAATATAACCTTTTATTATTTATAACTATAATTATATTATATTTATTTATTATATATTATTATATAATATACATATGTATATACCATATGTATATTATATATTTATATATAATTTATATATAATATATATTATATATATATATATATATATATATATATATATATATATAAATAGGTAATGTTTTAAACCTTTAGCCCCTTCAAAGCTAACGCTTTCATAAGCTAAAAACATTTTTAAATAAAAACTAAAACTAAAGAAAAAATAACACCCATAAAAATAAAACTAGAGTAGTAAAAAGATTTTGTCACATTCTCAGAAAAAATAAAAAAGTTCTCTCTTGCTTTAGCAGTAAAAATCTCATTTCATGTATTATCTATCTCATAAAAAATTTTTTTTATAAAAAAGGAAGAAATTAAAGAATTCAACCTAGGTAAAAATATTATAATAGTTATTATAAAATAAAAAATATAAAAATTAAACAAAAAAAAATAAGTCAATACCCCAAAAAATAAAACCAACAACCCAACAAACAACTCAAAAAAAGAAAAAACAACATTCAATGGGATAAAATAAAACAAAAAAAAATTTCCAATAAAAGTACTAATTAAAAATAAAATTATAACCCCATAAAAAAATGTTTTTCTCTCACTAAAACTAGTGTATGGGTCATAAGAAGAATAACCAGAGTACCCTAAGAGTAAAAGACGTAAACTATAAGAAACAGTAAAACAACAAGAAATAAGAAAAATATAACCAATAAGCCCAGAAGTGTTGAAGAATAATAAGTTTCCTAAAATAAAATCTTTAGAATAAAACCCCAAAGTAAATGGGAACCCTATAAGACATAAACAACTTATAGAAAAAAATAATTTACAAAAAAATGACATAAAAAATCCCCCAAATAAACGAGAATCTTGGTTCCCAAATAAAAAATGTATTAAAGAACCTGTTGATAAAAACAAAGACCTTTTAAAGAAAGCGTGAAAAATTATATGTAATAGACCTAATAGCCAATTCCCTATGGAAATAGAAAATACTATAAAACCTAACTGCCTTAGTGTTGATATGGCAACAATCTTTTTAAAGTCTAACTCATAATTAGCAAATAAACCACCCAAAAGTATAGTTAATAAAGAGATAAGTATTATTAAGCCTCAAACCCTAATTAATATAAAGTTAAATCGAATTAATAGAAAAATTCCAGCAGTAACTAAAGTAGAAGAATGTACTAAAGAAGACACCGGAGTTGGGGCTGCTATAGCAGCAGGTAGCCACGCAGAAAACGGTATTTGAGCTCTTTTAGTGATAGCACCAACTATCACAATTACAGAAAATCATAGAAAATCAATTACACTTAAATAATTGAAAGAAAAATACCCACAATAAAATATAAATATAAACCTTAACAAAAAAAAACAATCTCCTAAACGATTGGTTAAAAAAGTAATTAAACCAGAGTCCATACTTTTTGGGTCATTATAGTAAATAACTAGTAAAAAAGAAACAACCCCTAAACCATCCCACCCCAACATAACTAAAAATCAAGAGTATGAAAAAACTAAAAAAAATATGGAAACTACAAATAAAAATAAAAGAGACAAGAATCGAAGCTGGTCAGAATTAACAATTTTTCTATTAACTCTTATGTAATATTTACTATAAATAAAAACAACCGAACTAATAAAAGATACACAAGAGAAAAAAAAACAGCTAACATAATCAAAACAAAATGACAAATTAAAATCGTCTATAATAAAACTTGGTACTAAAAAGTTTAAAACTAAAGAGTTGTAAAAAAATAAAAACCTCCCTATAACAGAAAATAACAACCCTATAAAAAGAAAAATTCAAGAAAAATAAAAAATTACCAAGACTAATTTTTTCTTTAGTTCCACAAACTAATATTTTTATTAAACTAATTAATCACAAACACATTAAAGGGAAAATTAAAATAAACCAAAAATGAATAAAGCCTAAAAACAAATAATCATAAGAAAAATATGAAGACAAAAAGAAAGACACACCACCGTGTGTAGGAAAAACATATAGATAAATATTATACAATCCACACATAAAAAAAAAGATTAATAACACTACTCAATCTAGAGCTCCTAAAAACCCAAATCCTATGGAGATTATAACCTCAGAAAAAAACGACATAAATGGGGGAAAACCTGTATTAAAAACAACCCCTAAAAACCAAAATAAACCAAAAATAGGTATAAATAAACCAACTCCTTTTAAAACAAACACACTTCGAGAATGAAAAATTTCGTAAATATAGTTTAACCCAAAAAATAAAAAAGGTGAAATAAACCCATGGGCTACTAACATTAAAATAGCCCCTATAAGACCAATATCTGAAAAAGAGATTAAACCAATAACTATAAATCTTATGTGAACAATAGAAGAATAAGCAATAATAATTTTTAAGTCCCTTTGTCGTACACAAATCATAGAAATAATAACACCCCCAATGATAGAGAAATAAAAAAAAACATTCCAAAAGATCCTTGAACTAGAAAACTCCTCTATAAAAGGAAAAAAACGAAAAAGACCATAAGCCCCTAACTTTAGTAAAACTCCTGCTAAAAGTATAGACCCAGTAACAGGAGCCTCCACATGAGCCTTAGGAAGCCACAAATGCACCCCATAAAGTGGAAGCTTAACGATAAATACTATAATAATAAAAAAAACCAATCAATTATACTCCCCACAAAAAAAATTCATTGAAAAAAACCTTATATTTAAAAAATTACTTAAACAGTAAATAATAAAAACAAAAAAAGGTAAAGAAAAAACTAAAGTATAAAAAAATATATAAAAAGAAGCTTGAATACGCTCTATAGTTTTTCCTCACCTTAACAAAAAAACAAATATTAACAAAAAGACAACTTCAAAAAAAATATAAAACAATAAAAAATTATCTACTATGAAACATAAAACCAAAAACAAAAACATCCCCCATATATAAAAAAATGATTTAAAATCTTTGAAACATAAAACACAATAGTAAAATACCCACAAGGTAATAAAAATTATGAAAATTCTAAAATAGTCGACCCCCACAAAACCATAGTACAAAGAAAAAGTGTATATGTCTCCTATAAATAAATAAAGAATAGAAAGTATAAAAATAGGGATTAATCAAGCAAAAAACAGCTTGTCTATAACCAATAAAAATGTTATAACCCACAAAAATAAAAAAGTTATCATTTATTTAATACAAAAGCTCTAACCTACTTGATAAAATATAAGAAGAAGATTTAGAACGATAAAGAAAAATAAATACACAAATAGAATAAGCCCCCATGCAAACCCCAATTAAAATAAAAAATAAGCCCACAATATAAGAAAACCTTAAAAAAACCATATGCATAAAACAAAACAAAATTATAAACTCAACTAAAATAAGTAAAATTAAAATATTAGTACTACTAGAAATAGAAAGATAAAAATAAAAAAGAAAAAGAATTAAAAACCCCCTTATCATTTTTCCTTTGTAGTTTAAATAAAGAACATTGATTTTGTAAATCAAAAGAATTTTTAAGGATTGTCTTTACTTCTTATGTGTTCAATATTTTTATTAATAATAGAAAAATCAAGATCTCCATTAAAGCTATCTTTATTTTTAACTCTAATTAGAACTACTCTTGGATTATTAATGTACATAATTTCTAGATCAGTTTTCATCTCATGTTGTCTAATCATCTCATTCTCTTCTGGTATAATAATCTTATTTTCTTATTGCTCAATCTCATCATTCTACGAATATAAGAATAACCTAAAAAACAATATATGGTTTTTATTAATAAGATTATTATTACTAATACTTATGCTCCCACAAGAAAAACTTACACCGTCTTTAGAAAAACTTTCTATGGGTACTTATATTATCCCATTTATACTAATCTTCTTAATATTTATAGTAATTGTCTCCATAAAATGTATAAATATTTCTTTTTTCAACCCTACAAAAAAGCTTATACAATCTTATTTGCGTGTTTAAAAGATCTTTTTCTTCCCCCCACTACGCAATATTCTATCTTTCCTCCATTTTTTCCACTATTGGTGTTCTTCTTGGAATTGCTTTTTTTACTTTAGTAGAACGAAAAATTATAGGAATTATACACTATCGAAAGGGGCCTAATAAAGTTTTAATCTGAGGGCTGCTACAACCAATCTCTGACGCGGCAAAATTACTAACTAAAGAAACCAGAAAATTGCAACCCCTGAAAAGATTTATATATTGAAGAGCCCCCTTATTAGGTATACTACTAATAATGTCTTGTTGACTATGATATGAGAGAATCTTCTCTTTATTAAGAAATAAAATAAAAATCTTTTGTATTTTATCTATTATAAGACTTTCTGCTTTTGTGTTTATACTCACAAGTTGGGGGTCGAACTCTAAGTACTCTATAATTGGCGGATATCGGGCTATCAGGCAGATTATCTCTTACGAAGTTTGTTTTGTAATTTTTATTTTTGTGATCTTATATCTAATAAACTCCTACTCACCAATAAAAATAAAAATAATCCAAGAAAACTTATGGTTAATATTTTTATCATTACCGTTATTTTTTACATGAGTAGTAATATGTATAGCAGAATCCAACCGAACCCCGTTTGATTTAGCTGAAGGAGAATCAGAAATCGTTTCTGGATTTAACATTGAGTATGGGGGTGGGTTATTTGCCTTAATTTTTATTATAGAGTATGGTATAATCATATTTTTAAGATTTTTATCAACCTTAATTTTTTTAGGAGTAAGGATGTCTTTATTAAAAACATTAACATTTTGTTTTTTATTTATTTGAATTCGATGCTGCTTCCCACGAGTCCGATATGACAAACTCATAAATCTTTGTTGAAAAGTTTTTCTTCCCTATAGTCTAAGAGTATTAACTTTATGTTTACCTGTATTTTTCTTATAAAAGATTAGGAAAAATTTACCAAATCTTTAACAACCCCTACCCCTAAAAGCTTAAAATCATATGTTTTGAAGACATATAGTTTTTACGTTAACCTAAAGCTCTAAAATATTTTTACATTATGTATTATAGTGGGTCCTTTCGTACTACACTAACTTTACATTTACCCTTAGATAAAATCCAGTCTGGCTCACGCCGACTTTAACTCAGATCATGTAAAAGTTTAAGAGACGAACAGTCTCATTAATTAAGCTTCTTCGCCTAAAAATAATTTTAATCCAACATCGAGGTCTCAACCTATTTCATATATAAGAACTAATAAAAATAATTAAGCTGTTATCCCCGGGGTATTTTCCTATTTATCTTTAGTTTAAAGTTCAATAATATAAAAATTTAATTTTATTTAAATAATCCCATTGCCCCAACTAAATACTAGATATAATCTTAGTATAAAAATCCCGGGGTCTTTTAGTCTTAAGGGAAAAGTTGTTATTTTCAACAACAATATAAATTAAAGATTAAAAAGAATATAACCTAAGATCTTTCATTCATGCAAGTTATCAATTAAATAACTAATGATCTCGCTACCTTAGTGTGAAAACCACAGCCATTTATAAAATACATTGGGCAGAAAAAACTATAAACACTATAGCTATGGTTTTAATAACCAGTCTTAGATAAAATTAGTAACATAAAATAATATCTTTATTACAATAATATAAAAAACTAAACAATTATGTTTATAAATCTACTAATTTGATAATTAAAATTTAGTTTTAATAAAAATTTTTAATGTTTGTTTAAATCATAATAAGTTATTACACATACCCCTACTATTAAAGAAAACGTATATATAAAAAATAATAAAAACAAAAAAAGGCTTATCCCTTTTTACACAATAATTCTAGTTACCCAAAAAAACGAAAGCGTATAACTCCTTACAAAGATTTTAAAATAATATTAAAATTAAAAACCCTTGTAAAATCTTAAATATTCTAAGTTTAATAAAATAATAAAACTCTACCAGCCCTTGTACAAAAGGTAAATACTTAACTAGTATAAAACCATCACTGGAAAACAAAAATAAAAATATTGTAATTAAAAATTTTTTAATAAACTACACCATAAAAACAGAAGAGTTAAAAGATTTTTTGTTGTAAGCAAAAAATAATGAAACTCTTAAACAAGAAGCACTTTCCAGTACTCCTACTTTGTTACGACTTATCTATCAAAAGAGTGACGGGCGATATGTACTTTTATTAGGTCCTTCTTCAAATAGAAATTTTAATATCTATTTTACTTTCACATCCAAATTAAATTATTTATATAAAAAAATTCCCCTATTATAGTAACTCATTAAAAACCAATTTATCTTCTACACATAGACCTGAATTAAGGGATTAAATCTTAAAGCAAAAATAATTAAATTAAAGCCTAACAGCCGTACATAAAATTTAGATTGGTTATAATAAAGGCGGGTTATCTTTTAAAATTAACAAATTCCTGTGAATGGGTAATAAACCGCCAGAAAAATTAAGTTTAATAAAAATTATCTACTACTTAATAATAACCCTAAAATACTAGGGTATCTAATCCTATTCTTAGTTACAGTTACCTTTTATAGACTTCTAAAAATAAAACCTTAAAATTTCACCCTTAAGGGTAAAATAAAAAATCAACCTTATAAAGAAACAAAATTTAAAGAATAGAGTATGACCGCGACTGCTGGCACAAACTTAGTCTTCTAACCCTTTAACAATTTTTATAAAAACCCAACTATTGGAAAATATAAATAAAACATTCCCATAAAGAATTAAAATAAACAAAATATAGGCTTTCATCCAACCCACCAAAATCAACCTTCTCATTAACAAAGAGATATTCTAAAAACTATATTTGGAAAAGAGTTGCTATGAGTGCTTTTTATGCTTAAAAGGCATAAAGATTTATATATCTTAAACCCTCCATAATAGCACAAAAAAGAAAGTTTACAGCTTTCATTAAAAGTCTATCCAAGGGGTAATTCTACAACTCCCAAAGCCGTAATCTTAAATAGAATAACCCTAGAGATAATTTTAAATCTCTTAAGTTTTAAAAATACATTAGATTGCAAATCTAAAATTTTAAGAGGTTATATAATAAAACATCAACTTTTAACAAGCCTAGTCTTTAGCTAAAAGCACAATTAACTTTCAAAGTTAAATATTTTTAAAGACAACAATTAACCTCTAGAGATTATGAGCCCCTAAGCTTTAAGCTTTAAATTGTTAATAAAATACTAGCTGACACAATAAATTAGGTCGAAACTAATTATTAAAAGCTAGATACCCAGGATAAAATACCCCTTAACCACTCATAACAAGTGGCTAATAGTACTAATAAAATCACAAACCAATAATAAATAAAAAAGTACTCTCTTACAAAAGGTGGGAATCTTATAATAATAATTTCTACATCAAATAATAGAAATATCAAAGAAATTACAAAAAAAGGTATAGAAAAAGAAGACCCCCTTACTATAAAAGGCTGAAAACCACATTCAAATGGAGAGCTTTTATAAAACTCAGAACCTATAAAAAAATATGACAGTAAAACCACTAGTAAAAAAAAAACTAAAACCATAAACAACACAAAAAATAACATATAAAAAAACAAAGCTTTTAAAACCTATTAATTGGAAATTAACTATACTTAATTATACTAAAAAGCTTTAATTTAGTCTAAACTCCCCATCAATAAAAAATCAGGTATAAACAAAATCACACAACATCTACAAAATGTCAATACCATACAGAACATTCAAACCCAATCCTATGATTAGGTCTAATGTGTAAAAAATAAAAACGAAACAAGCAAATTATTAATAGAGCCCTTCCAATAATAACATGAAGCCCATGAAAACCAGTACCCATAAAATAAATAGAAGAATAACAAGAACAAGAAAATGTAAAACTAGCAACATAATATTCTAAAGCTTGTAGGCAAGTAAATAATAACCCTAAAACTAGTGTTATTACTAAAGATACAACTCTAACTTTATACTCCCCTACTTCTATAGCATGATGGCACCAAGTAACAGAAACTCCTGAAGAAACCAACAAGATAGTATTTAAAAATGGAACCCCCTTAGGGTCAAAAGGGCTTACCCCAACAGGAGGTCACACACCACCAAGCTCTACTGCTGGTAGTTCAGCTAAATGTAAGTACCCCCAAAACATCCCTAAGAAAAAAAAACATTCAGACAAGATAAATAAGATTATACCAACCTTAAAACCAATAGTAACCTCAAGATTATGGTCCCCTTCATAACAACCTTCACGATGGACATCTCGACCCCATAAGAAAGAAGAATAAAGTAAGACAACTAAAGAAATTAAAAATGGATAGACGTCAAAACAACGAACTATAACAATAACCCCTAAAGCAAATCTTAAAAAAGAAAAAGAAGTTAAGATAGGCCAAGGCCTTAAATCTACTAGATGAAAAGGATTAAATTTTTTCATTTCAATTTAAATTAATGAGACCTCTCCCCCTCAGAAAGATATAAAAGTAATAAAGTAGAAAAAACATAAGCCTGAATAATAGATACACCCAACTCCATAAACACTAGAAGCCTTTGGGCTATAGCCCCAAAAATCAAAAAATAAGTTGGCAAAAAAAGAACAGCATTCCCAATCAATCTCATAAGTAAATGCCCAGCTATTATGTTAGCAGTTAATCGAAAAGTTAAAGCCATAGGACGAATAAAATTTCTTAGCAACTCCACAACAACCATAAAACTAATTAAACCCAAAGGAGTGCCTGTTGGGATTAAATGAATTAAAAAATCTTTTAAAGATTTATACAAGCTGAATAAAATAATCCCAACCCAAAATCTATATGATAACGGGAAAGTTACTAACAAATGAGAAGTGATAGAAAAAATATGGGGAAAAATAGCAAAAAAATTATATAACATAATACAGATAAAAATTCTTAAAATCATCTTATAAACCCCTTTTGCTACTTTACTAACACTATAATCAACCTCCTTTTTCCTAAAACAAAATAGGTTAAGAAATAAATAAGAATACATTCCACCAACTCAATATAAAGAAGGAAACAAAACAAAAACAAATCCACATATTACTCAAGAAATAGAAAACAACCTTAAAGAAGGGTCAAAAATAGAAAAAAGATTTATTATCATTTAAGACTTACCAAGGCATAGAAATAACACTAGTTTTTAATATTTTTTTTTCAACAAAAAACCCTACATATCCTATAGAAACTATTAAAAATGCGGTAAATATCCCTAAAAATACGAAAACAAACACAAAAAGTCAAGGTAAAGGTATTATTTGTGGTAACAATAAGCTATAAGATCTTAGCCCTGACAAAACTATATTTCTAAAACTGAAGCTTAAGAGTATTAAATAACGAAATTATTAACCTTGAAATCTTCACTTAAAATATCCAATAAGTATGTTTTAGAAAATTGGTCAAAAATACCCAATGGAACCACTTTTATAGAAATTGGTATAAAAGAATGGTTTGACCCACAAATCTCAGAACACTGTCCATAAAAATTTCCTAAACGAACTGGATTAACGAATAATTGATTAATACGTCCAGGAAATGCATCAACCTTTAACCCTAAAGAAGGAACCGCAAAAGAATGGATTACATCTGTAGAAGAAATTAATAAACGAGAAACCCTATTCAACGGGATAACTAAATCCGACCTACATCCTAAAAGACGCGGAGCATTAACATCATCCTCTAATAAAGAATCATATTCATAAGAAGACAATAAAGATGTACCATTAACCTTAAATGAAAAATTTTTAAATAAAGGAACAACATAAGATCAATACCATTGATGGGCAATAACTTTAAAGCTTAACGAGGGAGTTTTTACATCCTCCATAAAATACAGAACTTTCATAGAAGGTAAAACTAAAATAATTAACAAAAACGCTGGAACAATAGATCAAATAGTCTCAATAAAAGTTCCCTCTGATAAATTTTTATAAAATTTAACCCTATAAAGTATATAAATTATAATATAAGAAATTAAAATAATTACACCAGATATAACAACAACCACGTGGTCATGAAAAACACTCAACTCTCCTATAGAAGGAGACCTAGAATCTTGAAAATTTAAAGACATTCATCTTGGCATTTATAAAAACTAAATTATTACAACCCCACTACAAACTTTTCAAGCTTCCACATTAGTGTGTGAAGGAGCTGGGCTCTCATAATAAAACTCAGAAGAAATTAAATTAGAAGAATAATAATTAATGACACGCCCTCTTCTCATACCCTCTCATATAATAAAAATAAAAATAACAATAGATATAACAGTAATAAAACTTCCAAGACTAGAAATAGTATTTCAATAAGTAAAACCATCAGGGTAGTCACAATAACGACGTGGTATACCATTTAACCCTAAAAAATGTTGTGGGAAAAAAGTTAAATTGACACCTAAAAATATAACCCAAAATTGACCTTTTAACAAATAAGGATTTATTGGTATGTTGTATATTACAGGAAACCAATGTGTGATACCAGCTATAATAGCAAAAACAGCACCTATTGATAATACATAGTGAAAATGAGCAACAACATAATAAGTATCATGTAGACTAACATCTAAAGAAGAATTAGAAAGAATAACACCAGTTAACCCCCCAACAGTAAAAAGAAAAACAAACCCTATAGACCATAAGAATGATGGGCTAAAGTCCAACTTTCCGCCTAATATAGTTGCCAATCATCTGAAAACCTTAACTCCCGTAGGAACAGCAATAATTATAGTAGCTGATGTAAAATAAGCCCGAGTGTCTACATCCAACCCTACAGTAAATATATGATGAGCCCATACAATAAAACCTAAAGTAGCAATAGAGATTATAGCATAAATCATTCCCAAGGATCCAAATGGCTCAATTTTATTACTATAAAACCTTACTGTATGAGAAATAATACCAAACCCAGGCAAAATAAGAATATAAACCTCAGGATGACCAAAAAACCAAAATAAATGTTGGTACAAAATTGGGTCTCCCCCACCAACAGGGTCAAAAAAAGTAGAGTTAAAATTACGATCAGTTAATAATATAGTCAAAGCAGCTGCTAAAACAGGTAAAGAAAAAGCTAGTAGAAAAGAAGTAATAAAAACAGACCATACAAATAGAGGAACATTGGACCAACCTATACCTTGGACTTTTATATTAAAAATAGTAACAATAAAATTAATGGCCCCTAAAATAGACGAAACCCCAGCAATATGAAGTCTAAGAATACCGAAATCAACAGCAGGCCCTGAGTGAAAAATACCATTAGAAAGAGGGGGGTAAACAGTTCAACCAGTACCAACCCCAGACCCAACAACAGCAGAACTTACTAAAAGAGATAAAGAAGGTGGTAATAACCAAAATCTTATATTATTTAAACGAGGGTAGGCCATATCTGTAGCCCCAATTATTAAGGGGACCAGTAAATTACCAAATCCCCCTATCATAATAGGCATTACTATAAAAAAAATTATAATAAAAGCATGAGCAGTAACAACAGAATTATAATAATCAAAATCTATAGAGAAATCACCAGGTTGAGATAGTTCTAGACGAATTAATCTCCTAAAACTTGTACCTAACATTCCCGATCATACACCAAAAATAAAATATAAAGTAGCAATATCTTTGTGATTAGTGGATATAAGTCAACGTAT